CCCCCCCCCCATTGGATGATTTTTCCACTCCGCTCTGGCACTTGCCTTACAATTTCCTGCCGGTCGCCGAGCAAGGACTCCAGGTAAGAGAACGCCAGGCCCCTGAAGAAGCAGCTTCCGTCGGCGCGGGCTTTCCGAATAGCGCAGTACCGAGGCCGAAGATCCTGCGGCATTAAAAATAAGAAACTTGAACAGATCAATAGATGAACGGGATCAGAATGCACCCGAAGTATCACACTCAGAGGGGCAGCGCTTGTAAATCTCAAGGCATCGGAATGACTCGGTCTGGTATCTTCTACCTTCAGTTTGCTCTGGTGCGCGGGTTCGCCGGCGTGTTCTTCGATGAATGACGCGATGTCGCACTTCTCAGACACCAAATCAAAGGAATCGCCGCACTGAGAAAAGTGAATAAAGGAATCAGATCCAAGAAATGACCTCCAATAGAAGAGACGCATCGGACTGCAGTCACACCTATAAATGCATGTTGCTGCATGCGTTACACTCTGCAATAACCGCGCTCAGATCTCACCAACCAGACCAAGGACGGTTACTGTATACCGGGAGGATTTTTGGTGCATTCACATTTTCAATCAAAAAAACTGCACGCAGCAAAATAAAAGTATCTAAACCCAAAAACTACAGAAAGAAAACTTTCATTAAAGGAGAACTATGGGGTCAGGGCTTTTCCACATAGTTCTCCTTAGGGTAACGGGAGGACACAAACTAGCGTCCACCCGTCACCCTAAAATCAGTATACCGCAAGCTACAGCTCGCGGTATACTGAGACGACGCAGCCGGAGCGGATCCCGACATTGATGTCGGGATCCGCCCAGCTGCGTGACTGACAGCTGGCTCTGCCTATCTAGAGGCCGAGCCAGCTGTACCCGCCCCCTCCCCCGTCCGTTCCCCCAGTCAGCGCTGGCGGATCAGAGCGTGGAGGGAGGAATCCAGCCCCTCCCCTGTCATGTCAGAGAGCCATGACAGGATCGAGAGGTGAGCGAACACCGGTATGTGTTCGCTCACCTCCCGATCTACTGAGCCGACCTGTGACAGTCTCATTGTCACAGGTCGGCTAGAACTATGAGGTGAGTGACAAGCACTCACCTCATAGTTCTCCTTTAAATATCAGACATGTAAGCTGCAGAAAAATTCGGTTCGGATATTTTGTTATTTCGGGGTTCGGATCAGAAATTCAATTCGTTTCGGGTTTCGGATTCCGACAAAATCCAAATTTTCACTAGTTTCGGATGAGTTTACGAATTTGTTGCGACTACCACAGAAAACCATATACAGATATTAATACCAAAGCTGAGGCTCCCAGACCCAAATGGCATTCCGAAGCTCCCCAATACAATTTGGAAATTCGGATCCTGAATGCCATTCGAGGTCCGGGAGCCTCAGCTTTAGTATTGTCTGTATATACTGTATGTGGCTCTCATGTTGCCGTAACAAAAATTCGTATTCAGATCCGTTCGGATGCATTACACCGAAAAACACATCTGATTGGCCAGAAAAGTCACATGTCCCATTCAGTTTAATTTTTGAACAAAATTCAGGCAGGATCCAAAATTCGGAAATGGAAATTCGGACGCATTGGGATTCGGAAATTCGCATGTGTCCAAATTTTGGAAAATTCCTCCGAATTTTGATTCGGAACTAAAGGAATTGCCCATGTCTATTAAATA